GCTAAACAACATTGCTTTCCAATATGGTGGGGGTACATTTACCGCCAGCACTGAAAGCTGTCCTCACCACCTTGGTCTATGCTGCCATCAAGCAGCATGCTGCCGGCTTGGAGATGTGGTCACTGCAAATGCTGGTTGCTCGCATACACCATTGAATTGTTACGGGGCCTCTTAAAAGAACCATGCGGTTTTTTGCTGCTTATGCCGAGTCAGGAAATCTCCCTTAAAGGAATCATGCAAGTCTGCTACCAAGTAACCTTGCTTGTCTCTGTTCTTTTGTTTCTAAAACTCTTTTTTAAGCTTTTTGTCAAGCTTTAAGTGGAAGTTCTTAGTACCCACGATATAGTTATATTGCTAAAATCATTGTCCTTGCTAATTACTTAGGGAAATTTCAACTATTCCTATAGATATACTCCTGAGCATTACAGATTATCTTCACCCATGTTTCTTATACCTATGAGATTAGTCAGGCATTGATGTTAGATCTTCCAACACTTCATAGACCTGCAGAACATGGCATTTAAATGTTTTAATATTAGTACTCCGTTGACATGAGACACTATTGCTCCTGACAGCTCTGAGCATTTTCCCAATAATATGTTGGGCACTGATGTTACTCCTTCTGGAGTCCATCCTCTCCTCGGCTAAAGGCCTCTTGGGCAAAGAACTGCCCCCACCTCGACCACTGACTTTGGACATACTATCCTACTGTGCTTTCAGGAGACAAACAGAAGACTGCTGAACCTTGCCAAGTCAGGCTAAGGCAGCCTTTCTACCTCCCTGCTTCTGTAGCAGTCTGTCAGATACTCTAGGCCTCAGCCAAAACTGGTTGCTCCGATGTTGCTATGAGACTTTAGGTGATTGTCCAGGTAGTCTGCTGTTTCTGTCTTCACCTTTTGGAAGCTGCTCACCTGCACTTCCTGCCTACCCTAGTATTGTTATCTTCCTTCTTAAGTTTTTGATGAGGTTGAAGTGTAGACTGCCATAATTATTGTTCTCTCTTCCTAGATAGAAATATTAGGTACATGATTTAAGCTTTCCAGCTTAGGACAACTCTATAGTAATCTGTTATGCCTTCAACCTAGGACTTGATATGTAGTTCTTGCCATTTGCTCTTGTTACCTCACTGGCAACAGGTGTTAAGTTTGTATGTTCTTAATTTTCCTTTTCCTAAAGCATACTGTCTTTGTATATTTACTGTCTTTGTATATAGTTTTGTATTAAGCCTAAATCTTTTCTTTAGACCAAAAGGGGAATTGTAGTGAGATATCACCCTGCCCGAACCTGTTGCACTGTTCATGCCCATTGGGGCATGGGAACAGGTGCAGGTGTGACCAATGAAGACTAGGTTTGGGGTCCCAGACCCCAGCTCTCTCTTTTGCTTCCTGGTCAGAGACAGAGAGCACCTGGAGGCATCCTTGGGCCCGGACCTGCAGCAGTCATCTGTTTCTGGTGTAAGTGATCTCTCCCCAAATAAATATCCATCAGCATATCGTTTCCCAGATTCTTATTTACCATGTTACAATGGGTGTTGTGCCCACATGTATGTTTGTATTCCATGTGTGTGTGTCTGGTACCCATGGAGGCCAGAGAAAGCATCAGATTCCTTGGGACTGGAGTTAGAGACAGTTGGGTGCATGGAATGGAAGCCAGATACTCTAGAAGATCAGCCAGTGCTACTAATCACCGAGTTATTCACTCCAGCCCCATTTAATGTTTTTTGTTTGTTTGTTGAGACAGGGTTAAATAGCCATAGTTCTGGAACTCACTTTGTAGACCAGGCTGGCCTCATATTCACAGAGATCTGCCTGCCTTTGCCACTGCTCTCAAGTGCTGGGATTAAAGGCCTGGACCACCATGCCCTGATTCATTTCATGTTTTTACTTTAATTTTTTTAATCAGTTGAAAGTTTCATACATTCATACAATATATTGACCATGCCCACCCACTACTACCTCACTCCCACTCTCCCTGGTGTGCCCCTGTCTGTCTCCCGACTTTTAAGCTGTCATTAGTAAAGAGTCCAATTAGTGCTGCACATATGGGCATGGGCTTAGGACCATCTACGATGGCATGTGAGCCTGCCAGTGGCTGGATAATTCTTCAGACTGTCTTCAGAGGAAGAGTACCACGAATGTGCCTTCAAACTTCTTTTCAGAAGGAGTTAAACTAATTCCTAAAGCGAATCCTTAGAATCTATTTGGAAGGACACCTGCCAGCAGAATGCCAGCCTGGACACCACCAGTGCACGTGATCACAAGAGAAAAGAAACCTACACTGATTTAATAAAAATGATAGTTTTGGTCACTTGTTTCCTTATTTCCTTCTGCTCCTACGTTAGCTATATTCTCAAAAGTCTTTTACTTTGGACATGTCTTATTTGTTGTAATGATGTTCCTCCTCCCCCACCACTACCACCACACCACCACCATTTTCATTTTTGCTAGTATTTGCCAGAGAAAAAGGTTAGGGTTAGATTCAGCTGTGTTACAGGAACAATCCAGAGGGTTAAACTAAATGAAGGTTTCTTTAACTAAATGAAAGTTTCTCTTCCACATAAGGTTTAGGGCAGGGCAGTGCAGGACTGGCTTCCACCCACTCCACAGAGCAGGAAAGGCCTTTGCTTCTATTGATCTCCCTCCATCCTACCCCCCCCCCATGAGGCCTTATTCACATGTCCATGGTAGCAGCTAGGTTTCCAGCCATCACCTTCAGAGAAGCAAAAGGAAAAATGAAGATCCATCTATCCTCCTTTTGCATCATATTGGCCAAAATTCAGACATGTGACCTCACCCAGCCACAAGGGAGTCTGGACAATGAGCCAGCTAAAAAGCTGGACTAATGTAAGAATGCTTAGCATGGAGTGGCCAACTCTGTTTTCCACAGGCAAGGGTGAAAACTGTTGAATACGACCCACTCATCTGAGAACAATCATGATGTTTATGATGATGATGAGCTAATCTGGGCTAAATCATTACTGCAGTCCACCAGATAGTGTTCATGGGAGGCCACTGGTTCAACTTCAGCTCCTGCACCGAATCTGACTTCAGTTAACTGCAGGCAGCTCTGAAACCAATTGCTCAAGTAAGCTGTAACCAATTAAGCAGTCTCTGCACACACTCGTTTCCTATAAGCACTGTCAGATCCTATTATTCCTGGGAGTGTCTGACACAGCCTTGGACTGCCCAGTTTGCAAATCACTTTTGTTTTGTGTTGCTTTGTTCTGTTTTGTTTATAATCGCTCGAATAAATGTGAGCTTAATTAGGTTAAGATTTCTCCTTTTGACAAGTAGGTGTGGGCACTGTTCCTGGTACTTGCTTTGTGGTACTTGAACCTTTATACCTCCAAGTAGATATGATCATTTATCTTCATTCCACAAAGGAAGAAACTGGGGCACAGAGGAATCTGCCCAAGTTAGCCCAACTTCATAGATGGTGGCATGTGGGTTTCAACACTGGCAGCTAGCTAGCTCTGGAACCCCCAGGGCTCAACACAACTAGACATAGAGAGGTCTCTAACCAACAGCCACACACCATGTCAAGGAGGCCCAATGGGGTCTGTCCTGGGTCTAAGAGGGTATCTAAGCCAGAGATATATTTTTGCTGGGGACATCCCGCATGCTTACCTTTTTAATTTGTGTCTTTTGAGGCATAGATTATATTTGTGGCTCATTGTCCAAAATAAGTTGGCCATTCCAGGGGCTGATTTTGCATCCCTGTCAACCAACACACTGCATAACACATAGTAGGTGCTCAAAAGATTTGTCCTTTGTGAGTGTATGTATGGGCTTTGTGATCGGAGCTGAGTGTGCAGAAACAGGAAATAGGGACTTTGCCCACTAGCACTCATGGGAAGAAGAGACTGGTGGGCACAGCAAACAGACCCAGACAAAGGCCCAGGAACGGGCTAGCCAGAAGTCTGGGTAGCTAGACATAATTTAAGAGTGTCAAGCAGCAAAGAACACGATCTTGAAGGGAGGCTGAGACAGACTGATAATTCCTTTCAACTCCCAAGGGGAAATGTTGGCCTCAGTCTGGAGGCCATGGAGAGCCACAGGAAGCTTAACTGAGAGAACACAGACCAGGCACCTGGGATAACTCTTCCAGAGGATGGAGGGATAGAAAAACAAAACAAAACAAAAAAACCCGGAGAGGTTGGTTGATAAGGATGGCAGGAGGGACACAGAAACCAGGCATGCTGGGGACAAGGGAACAGCAGTGGGCTAAGTCAGGACAGAAACGGAGAAACTGGTTGTTGAGCTGTGAGAGCAGATGGGGTTGGAAGGGAGGAGGGGCAGGACAAGGAGAAACAAAAGCAATCCAGATGGACCAGGGAACTGTGGGAGAAAGAAGGGTGGGGGTATAGACACCCAGCAGGGGAAGGGGCCAGGAAGGGGTTGGAGAGGGCCCTGGCTCCAGTAGAGGCAGACAGAACTGTTGGCCGCCTGTAGCTTTGTGCTCATGACTCAGAAATGTCCCAGGCTTGCCAAAAGACTGCCTGGCCCCTGCTGGCCTCTGCTGGCCTCTGCTGGCCCCTGCTGGCCCTGTCTCCTACCAGGCCAGGCGGCTCCCATATCAGGAGCTTTGGGGCTATCTACCCTACCTAGCCTTCCCAAGTAGGAACCCCTCTCTGGGGCCAATGGACACCTCCACCCCACCCTCCCCAAATGGCTGATGAAACAGACTAGACAGGAATGGGATAGAAGCAGACATCTGCAGAGGGCCTGTCAGGAAGCAGGGGGTGGGCAGAGGCCAGCTGAGGTTGCCAAGGGGCCCACAGTCTAGCGGGGAGGGAGGCAGAATTGGGGTTCAGGGAGCAGTCACAGCTGGTAAGGAGTTAATGTCTGGTCCATACTACTTCCCTGACAGGCCTAATGAGACCCAGTTGGTTGCCTGGCCCCCTGACAGTGTAAGCTGACACTGGGGGCTGGTTATGGGGGTGGGGGGCGTTCTGCAATTCTAGGGGCGGGGCGGGGCTGGGTCTGTGGGCTCAGGCCCAACACATAACTGTGGGCGGTTGCAGTCTGGGCCCCAGACAGCCTGCCTCTCTGAACTGAGCTGACAGCATGAAGGTACTGGCCTGGCCTGAGAGATAAAGACCATTTGTGGAGACAAGCCCCTTGCCAGGCAGGGGACAGAGGAGCATGGAGGGGGTGGGGGAGACAGACTCTTGAAACCCAGAAAGTAGAGAAAGGAAAAGCTTAACAGAGGGCAGGGGTTCGGGCAGGGGGAGCCCTGGGAGTTGTCTGGCCCGAGCTGGGGGCCACACTCAGCCCGTTTCCCACCACCAGGTTCTCGCAGCTCTGCCTCTGCTGCTGCTGCTGCTCTCTGCACCTCCCTGCGCCCCACAGGCCTCTGGGATCCGGGGAGATGGTAAGTAGCCCCCATCCACACGAGGTCATTGTAAGCCAGGCTCTGCAGGGCTGTTTCCTCCTCAACAGATTGGCAGCTGGCCCCTAGAGAACTCTCCAGACCTTTCATGACAGGGTCCCTTAGTCCTGGGGAAAAACCTGGGTGCTGCGGTGCCCTTTATGCCTTAGTCTCTCCTTGCTATCCCCACATTGTCACTCTCAGCTCTGGAGAAGTCCTGCCTTCAGCAACCCCTGGACTGTGATGATATCTACGCTCAGGGCTATCAGGCAGATGGTGTGTACCTCATCTACCCCTCTGGCCCCAGTGTACCAGTGCCTGTCTTTTGTGACATGACAACTGAGGGTGGCAAATGGACGGTGAGTAGGCAAAAGGCCTCAGGCCAGATGTGGTCCAGGCAGCTGCATGATTCTGAGTGTCACCTCTGCAAACAGGGTTCCTCACCTTTATAGGGACTGGACCCAGGGCTGCTAACACTTACACACACTTGAGGGCTAGTGCATGTTGTCCTCCCAGTGGTCCTATTAGGCAGGCGCCTCTCCTAAAGGAGGAACTGCAGACTCAGAGAAGTAATGCTGCTTGTCTTGGGCCACACGGTACCAAAGCTCACAGCCAGGCCTCTATGCCAGCTTTGTGCTTTGCCACTAAGCTATGTCCCCAGCCCCCAAATTCCCCTTAGTCTTTCCCCCTTCCTGTCTCTTCAGCAGACAAGAGGCCAGGTATTTACCCCCTTTTCAGCAGCAGATGTTCAGCGAGAGGCCTGGAGCCAGTGTGTGCTTTGTTTTAGCAACTCCCCAATACTCACTGACGTCCTTAATAAACTGGCTCAGCAAGGTCAGGTTTGGGGGGGGCAGGGCAGACAGGGTAGAGCCCTTGAGGGTTGAGCCTCCATCATCCAGCCCCTCATCCTCTTGCTTCTAGGTTTTCCAGAAAAGATTTAACGGCTCAGTGAGTTTCTTCAGGGGCTGGAACGACTACAAGCTGGGCTTTGGCCGTGCGGATGGGGAGTACTGGCTGGGTAAGGTGGGGCCACAGGGTAGGGACTGCCCCTCAGCCAAGTTTTTGCTAACCAGCTGCTACCGGTCTCTAGGGTTGCAGAACCTGCACCTCCTGACCCTGAAGCAGAAGTATGAGTTGCGAGTGGACTTGGAAGACTTTGAGAACAACACAGCCTATGCCAAGTATGTTGACTTCTCCATCTCCCCCAACGCTGTCAGTGCTGAGGAGGACGGCTATACCCTCTACGTGGCTGGCTTCGAGGATGGTGGGGCAGGTACCGCTATTAGCTTCTTCAGAGGCAGTGGCGGGGTGGGTATGGGGGACAATAACGTAGGACTGGCCCTGCCCCATTGGCTCCTTAAGGCTCCTCTTTCAACCCTTCTGGGCTTGGAAGATCCACAGCTCTCTCCAGACTAACTCCAGCCACCTGAACCCCAGTCCTAGGGAACAGCCACCCTGGCCCTGCTCCAGATGGTCCTGCTCCAGAACAGCTGTTTCTCTTTGTGGCTCAGGGAGGGCGCCTGCATCCCAATAGGATGCCATATGATGTCCTGTCTCTCAGTGTCATTCATCAACTGCTGTCACTTAGACTGCCAGCACAAGGCTCTGCTCCTGGCCTCAGTAGTTCTGTCCTTTCTCCCTCCTGCCAGGTGACTCACTGTCCTACCACAGCGGCCAGAAGTTCTCTACCTTCGACAGAGACCAGGACCTCTTCGTGCAGAACTGTGCAGCCCTCTCCTCGGGAGCCTTCTGGTTCAGAAGCTGCCATTTCGCCAATCTCAATGGCTTCTACCTGGGTGGTTCCCACCTCTCCTATGCCAATGGCATCAACTGGGCCCAGTGGAAAGGCTTCTATTACTCCCTCAAGCGCACTGAGATGAAAATTCGTCGGGCCTGAGGGGCTGGCTCAGGCAAGCCCCATGTCTCCCCTAAAAGCCCCAAGTCTTCATGATATACCCACAAGACACTACTTCTGCTGCTCTTTAAGCACCAGCAATGACCTAGAAAATTCCTGTCCCATGTCCAGGCCCTATTGCTTTCCTAAGGCTAGGCTATCAGCAACCCACCAGGCCTTTCTCTGGCTCAGACATCCCAGCCTGGATCTGGCTGCCCCTTATAAAAACCCCAAGTTGCTTCTATTCCTTCCTGACAACTGAAAGCCAGAAGCTACCTTCTAGCTGCCAGCTTTTGCATTCCACCCCAGCCAAGTCCCTTATTGCAGACCCATCTGTTTGGGGCTACCCTAGGCAGAGTAATACAGCACCTATGGCATTTGCCAGACAGCTCATGCATAGTTGCTGTTACACCCCAGCACTCCCACCCAGAACACGTCCCACCCTTGGTCTCCCCTTCACCAACTTATTCCCTTATAGTGAGCACCATGGAACCCAACTCACCTGCCTTTAAAGTTCATTGCCAAAACAATATTCACCACAGCTACTACTCATCAACCCTGAAGTAGTCACTGGCAAGATAGGCATGTTAACTAGGTTCCTTACTTGCCCCAGGGATTATCAATGAAAGGCAGCAGGGAATAATCTGTGGGGCTGGGAGTGGGTGGGAAGTGGAGGTCTCAATAAACCTTAAGGATCTGATGCACTGGCTTTGTGGACAAACATTTACTTGGCCTCAAATAATATGGGCACAAGGGTCTTCCTTAAATGCCTACTGCTGGTGTTCTTATTCCAACTCCAGAAATGACAGGCAGCTTAAAGGAAACCTTATATTTCACAGACCTCATTTTGATGACAAAACAAATGCATATTACAACAATAAAAATACAATACTGGAGAAGACTGCTCAGGGGGGAGTAGAGTCTCCCAATCCTGTTATGGCTCGGTGGTGGCTCAGGTAGCTGCTTAAGGCTGAAAGGTGGTCTGAGATGAACCTGCAGAGTAACTCAAGCTGAGCCTCACCTGCCAGTGCCAAGGCTGCAGGCCTCTGGATTGCATCCCTGGACCTTGAAGCTGGTTCTGTCCTGGCAGCAAGGCACAAGCTGTGGGTTTCAGGGCTCCTGAAGGTCAGGCAGATCAGCCAGCAGCATTGGGGAGTCCATCTGGATCTCACGCTGCAGAGACTCGATATCAGCGGGGTTCATGCCGTGGCCCTCAAGCCAGTCAGCCAGGAGGGAGGCTGAGAGTGAAGCTGAGTCTGCCTGGCTGCAAGAAAAGGAATTGGGATGGGTGTCCTCAGCCTGGGCCAGGTGGGCAGCCATCCAAGGACCCTGCCATAGCCCCATTCCAGGAGCTCAGTCCAACCATCTTACCCATCCTGTGGCCCATCGGCCACACCCATATCGAAAGACTGGTTTAAGAATTCCTCTAGGTCAAAGCCAACACCGTAGCCAGCCCCACTGCCCTTTGGGGTGCCTGAGAACACAGGAGGCAGGGGATCCTCCACCTGCAGGGACAATAACAGGTTATAGATGGGTGCAGGAAGAACAAATTAAGGTCAGCAGGACACAGCCTACAATTACTCACCACTCTGACCAACATCTGGAACATGAACACTATCTCAAAATCATCAAGGACTAGTACAAGTGGGGCTGTCTCTCGGCCACTTTCCAGAGTCTACCTCCCAACCACCTCTTCACTGTGAGCAAGGAAGCAGGCTCAAAGAGGTAAGGCTCCATGGACAACCCAAACCCACCTTCCAGGACCCACATCAAGGTACCCAGGCCTTTGTCTCTCTTCTCACCTGAGACTTGGACAGTTGCTGGGTCACCAGGTTGACATCAGGTGACTCTGACGTAGAAGGCTGAGGGCCCCCCCCAGAATCTGGAGGTGGTGGGCCAGATGGGAAGTAAGGCAGAACTTCTGGAGCACTGGAGCCAGTCAACCCACTAGTTGGCACAAGTGACTGAGGGGCCAGAAGGCTAGTGGAAGGGGCAGTTTGGAGTGGGGCAGGGATAGGGCCAGGAGGGCCAGAAGGCTGGGGAGCAGGGCCAGGGGGTGGACAAACAGGCTGGGAGACAGGACCAGGAATAGAGCCTGCAGGCTGTAGAGGACCAGAAGACTGAGATACAGGGCCAGTGGGGGGACTAGTGGGTTGGGCTGGGGCTGGGGCTGGGGCTGGGGCAGAGGGCCGAGCCATGCGAGTCCAGCGCTCCAGCAGGCTTCGGTCATTGTCACTGAGCACCAGTCCAGCTAGAGGGTCAGTAGAGAGGCCCCCTGAGGCACCAGCTCCCCTCTCCTTGCGTTCCCGCTCTTGCCGTCGCTTCTCCCTCTCCTTGGCTCTCTCTTGTCGTCTCCTACGCTTCTCTTCTCGCTCTCGCTGGCGTTCCTGAGCTGTCACAGGCTTTCGAGGTTCAGGTGCCTCCAAGGGTGCACTGGGGCCATCTGCAGGGCAGTTGGACAAGGGAAAGGGAAAGGCTTACAATTCTGTCCAAGAGTCTTTGTCTACCACTCCACTACCCAGACAGCTGCTAGACCCACAAAAGCACCTCTGAGCCGGCTCCTCAGGGACTTGAGCAGTGCAGCTTTGAGAGCTGCTTTGGTGTTGTCAGAGATGGCACCCTCTCTTTTTGGTGGGGCAAGCTCACTGGCTGGGGGGGCAGGCTGCAGAGTCAGATCAACAGTGTCAGGCACAGGGCCAGAGCACGGTGGTGGTGCTGGGGGAGGTGACTCCATGGCACAGTCTCCACTTGGAGCCCAGGGACTGGGCATCTCAACATCAGGACACACAGGCTCACTAGCCACAGGCTGCAGAGAAGGCTGGAAGCGGATTTGTTGGCGGATGCCCTCCCGTCGTGCATGGAAGTCCTCAATCTCAGCCACAATGGCTTCCTTAATGCGCTCCCTGGTAAGGGCTTCACGGTCAAAAGCAAAGTCAAAAGGCGGGGCACAATCAGGCTCATCATCAGGGTCATGGTACTTAGCCAGGAAGGGGTGACGAAGGGCAGCAGCAGCTGAGATCCGGGCACTGGGTTCAAATCGCAACATGCGGCCCAGCAGTGAGAGGGCCTGGCGGTCAGCACCTGGGTATACTGTCTCCCAGGGAACAGGCTGCCGTGGTGGCAGGCTCTGGATATAGGCCCGCACCCTTTCAGCCCCCACAGCCTGAATCACAGCTGGTGATGGGGTTCCCAACACCATCATGATCAGTTGTAACTGGTGCACGTAGTTTTTGCCAGGGAAGAGTTGTCGCCGAGCCAGCATCTCACCAAAGATGCAGCCCACAGACCAGAGGTCAATAGCCTGTGTGTACTCATGCAAGGAAAGCATGAGTTCAGGGGCACGGTACCATCGAGTGGCCACATACTCAGTCATGAAGTACTGATGTTCAGCAGGGGAGGTGCACAGGCCACGGGCCATTCCAAAGTCACCAATCTTGAGCTCACAGTTCTCATTCACCAAAAGGTTAGAGGGTTTAAGGTCACGGTGGATGACCTGAGCAGAGTGCATATACTTGAGGCCCCGAAGCAGCTGGTACAAGAAGTATCGCACATGCTCCAGAGTGAGCGGCTGTGAGGAGTGGATGATCTGGTGTAGGTCACTCTCCATGAGGTCCAGTACCACATAGCTAGAAATGGTGACAGAGGTGTGAGCTGGCCTCTTCTACTACAGGGACAAGCCCCATCCTTACTAGCCCCCCCCAATTCTATTGATTATGGCCTTACACTGAACCCCTAAACGACTAGCAGATGATATGAAAAAATAGCACCAGGTTTTAGATTTTTCTACATCACAAAAAGCTTAAAAGTTTAAAAAAATTTACTTATATGTTTCTATGCATGTATACATGTGTACTACATATGTGTCCAATGTCCGCAGAGGCCAGGAGAGGGAGTATGATCCCTTGAAACTGGAATTACAAATGTCTGTAATCTCTGTGTAGACACTAGGAACTGAACCCAGGTCCTCTGAAAAGCAACAAGTGCTCTTAACCACTGAACCATTTTTGCAGTCACAACTTTAACACAACTTTTGACAGATCATTTTCTCCATAGATCTAATTTCCCTGTCAGATTTCTTTTTTTTTTTTTAAGAAAAAAAAAAAAAAAAAAAAAAAAAGGTGTTCAATTATACAAAGCTTGACCAGTATAGTTAATTTTGGTGTAAACTCTATTGTTTGACAGCAGTTATGGAAAAGCTATGATGAAATTGTGAGAGCTTGTCAATTTTCTGTTTCTAAGAAAGTATTTTGTGCCAGGTGGTGGTGACCCACACCTTTTTTTTTTTTTTTTTTTTTTTTTTTTTTGTTTTGTTTTGTTTTGTTTTTTTGAGGCAGGGTTTCTCTGTATTGCTTTAGAGCCTGTCCTAGAACAATCTCTGTAGACCAGGCTGGCCTTGAACTCACAGAGATCCGAGTGCCTCTGCCTCCAAGTGCTGCGATTAAAGGTGAGCAACACCAATGATCTATAGTGGTCCATATCTTTAATCCCAGCACTTGGGAGGCAGATCTCTGTGAGTTCAAGGACAGCCTGGTCTACAGAGCTAGTTCCAGGATAGGCAGAGCTGCTACACAGAGAAACCCTGTCTTGAAATACAAAAAAAAAAAAAAAAAAAAAGTTTTTTTGTGCTCAATTAGTTATGTCTGCCATAAAAAATAGGAAGGTGTCATGACACTACAATTCCTGTGTCTGCTATCTTATAAAATTTGGACCTGTTCTGTTTTTCTCACTCTCCTGTTGTCTGGGCTTTTGTTTTGTCTTTTGAGATAGGATCTCATGTAGTCCAAGTTAGCCTTGAACTTACTATATAGACAAAATTGGTGCACCCAAATAAAGAAATATATCCCCCCCCCCCGTTTTTTTTTTTTTTTTTTTTTTTTTTTTTTTATTCCAATACAGAAGTGTCAACCTAAAACCTCAAAGATGTGGGCCAGGCAGTAATGGTGTGCATCTTTAATCCCAGCACTCGGGAAGCAGAGGCAGATGGATCTCTGTGAGTTCAAGGCTAACCTGGTCTACAGAGCTAGTTCCAGGACAGCAAGAGCTACACAGAGAAACCCTGTCTCAAAAAACAAACACAAAACCAAAAACTCCTCAAAGGTGCTCATCCCTTTCAGAACTTCAGCAGTATTGGTCCTGGGCTTCTAAACTGGTCCCAACAGTGTCTCCTTCTCCTTCCCCACTCCTTACACAGATTTGAACTCTCCATAGGGCACAGTGGGCCTCAGGATGTCTTTGATGGCGATGATATTGTCGTGTTTGAAGTGTTTGAGGATCTTCAGTTCCCTGAGGGTCCGTTTGGCATTGGTCACCACGTCAAAAGCATTGGGTATCTTCTTGATGGCCACCTGCTGGCCTGGAGAGCATGGAAAAGGTATATACCAGAGAGCACCTTGAAGTAGCTGCAGGCCCCTTTCAGCACTGCTCTTCTAGAACCCAAATAACAACAGGTACGTACCTGCCTGCGATGTGCAAGACCCCGTGTGTAACTGATACCAAACTTTAATTTCACAACTACCTCATAAGGCGGGTACTAATAGCTCGCATACACGGGAGACACTGCTGGTGTCTTAGTAGTGGTCTTGACTGTACTGCCTGAGCTCACTCTCCCTCCTCACATATGTTCTCCATCCCAGATCGTCCCCGTTCCATCACTAAGCCACTGTGCCAATCTCTGGCTCTGAAAGTTAATCTTTTTGGACACCAA